TCAGTTACGTATTGCCATTGGCAAAACTAATTCTCCTTCGAAAAACACAGCAACGAAATCAAAAGGGTATCCTATCCATCTTGTTAAAACGACCTGTTGAATATAGTAATCTCAACTAGTTATCGTCTCTAAACCAAAGCTATTGGAACAACAGTGATTCAGACAATCGGCGATAAAATGAGTTGAGTTTACTTGCCCCAAACTGGGCTTTTTGCCTCTTTATTGACTTCAAAAAGGGGAAATATAGTTTTTCTCCCCATCCATGCAATGCTGATGTAGAAAACAACAAGAAACACCCCAACTTTGAGTGGAGGAGACAGGGGAAGGGTGTGGATTCTTTTGTTCTCTGAAGTTAACCTATTCGAGTAAAATGTCTCAACAATTTTGTCGCTGATTATTGGTTGATATTCCATTACAGTCTATTGATTGGGCAAGAAACAAATGTCCGTTATCCGCATTAATGGGTGTCCGTGTATTAAGAGAATTAAGAGAAAATCTAAGCGCTTTACCCAGGGACAAAGGAAAGTGCCAGTAATAACAAGGTATCCGTAAAGCAGGGTTCGACGGGGTGACTGCTTTTTTTAATATCATTGTAACATGCTAACACTTTGAAGTTTTTTCCCCCAAATATCCAGGTGGGGCAAACCACTATACCTGAACCTTCATTACTACTGCACCAATCTATCAAAATAATTAGCTTGTTTCATTTACCTATACTAGAAGTTGATCCTGCAATGTTTTGTATACTCCAGCTGTTCAGAGGTTCCTTCCCCAGGGAAGATGCACCTTCATGTTTAGCTATGTTGGAGGGCATATGCTTCTTAAAAAGGATTCCACTATCCTCACTTGAAGTACCTGCAGTTAAGAGACGGCTCTTGTCAAGGTATTCATTATTACAGAATGTCTACTCAAGCAACTTCATTATAGCCAAAGAGCATTAACAAATTCATCAAAGCCGCTACAAGGGACCTTTAGGACGATATCACAGATTCACAATATTAGACACATACTTGAATGTCTAAGAAATGTTACTGCTTACACAGGGAGCCCGAACGCTGTAATAACTAATAGAAAAAATTAGATGTACTTACGCTGTATTAGCTAATGAAATAGCAAGATTCATTTTCCTTTGTTCCTGTGTCTTTAAGAGTTGTTTTGGAAGGGATTTGAATCCGATTAGGGACGGTTAACATTGCTGGTTATCAAATGCGTTTGCTTGTCTGGTGCGTCGTAAATAAGACGCTCAAGTTTCGTCTCACGTTTCTAATATTGTCGTGCTAAATATTAACTCTCGATCTCCTTGGGAGATGGTCTCGGGTTTCAATTTAACGGTCACGAGAAGAGAAAAGAGACAGTTTCATCCCTTGTCTCTTTTCTCTTCTCGTGGCCGTTAGAGGAAAGTTAAGAGTAACAATATTAGACTTGAGCGTCCTATTTACGACGCGCCAGACAAGCAAACGCATTTGATCTCTGATCGGATTCAAATCCCTTCTACTGTAAAACGACTTATAAAGACACAGGAACACAGGTAAATACATCTTATTATTTTATTAGGTAATAATACAGCGTAAATAAATTTAATTATTCTATTAGCTAATACAGCGTTCGGGTTCCCTGTGCTGCTTATAGCAGTTTGATCAAAGATACAATTTGCAAAATTGGGAATTTTGTTCGCATATATTTTTGAAAATAATTGTCACTACGATATTTTTCATGGCATAGCAGAGAATTCAGGACTTAAACCACGTTGGGAGATCGCTCTTTTGCTGTTGCTGCTCCTAGACTTTGGAATTTATTTCCTTTTGCGATATAGAGAAGCCCCTCAATTGCCATTTTTTTTCAGGGACAACCAACGATGGTTTCCTCCTAAATGCATTGAAAAGCCTTTTTAGGCTGTCCAGAGTACTTTTAGATCTCTAAAAATGTATTCTAAGTGGTGCTATAAAATTTGTTTCTGTTCGGTCATCCTACAGGAATTTGAGGCTTTTCGAAATTTCAAGGGCTACAGTGTTATTTTCCCGAAAAGTTTAGATGTAATTGAACGTTTTACGAAGTGATAATTTTTCTTATTTCTTTGTCCATCACATTTTTCAATCCGAAAATTTTAGGCTTCCCTTTTGTACGAAAATTAGCCTAACATAAGGAGTAAAATATGAAAAAATTAAACTTCAGAAAATCGAAAGGAATTTTGTAGATAAGCTTGAAAAATAGCACCTGAATGGAACGTTCATCTAGAATTTATTAGCCATATTCAAACAATAGAAAATTCTAGGTAATATTTACCTCTCCGAACAGATATTTTATAGAAAACAGTCGTTGGGTGCCCCTGATTTTTAAGAAGGCACTCGCGACATTTTCATTCCAGAAAGCTTTTATGTAATTTGATGTAACGTTTTCATTCGGTTTTAGTAGGTTTTATGCAGTTGGTACAGTTTTAGTACGTAAAGTAATTTTTCTAATTTTAGTGTTCGACATACCGTATTTATATCTTTTATATATTTAAATATTTATTTAAAAACGTTTTTTTAACCGCTGATGAAAATGACGCCCATCAAACGTCCATTGGTATCGGGGCTACATACGTTATACTGTTCTTAATAATACACGTCTATAGTACGAGCAAAAACGGTATCAAGTCCTGTCGGAAAAAGTACCTTTGAATACTCTAACAATCACTTCTCCCCTTTAGGTATAGTAGTGCACTAGTCAGCAATAGCAAAAGAAACAACTCATGTTTTTGCATACCTGTATTACAAGAGAATTCTGACATTTTACGCTTACGGCTATTATGAGACTGAGAGTCTGTATTCGTGGATATTTTAGTCGGATTTCCTGATGCAGCGTCAGCTTTCATTTCACAGTCACTACTAAGGGACGTTTCTGAAACAAGCTGCTCGTTGTGATAAGAGTTTGTTCTTTGGTTGATGTCAATTTCTGTAGAAGGCTCTGCAAAAACAAGCTCAGTCGTTACAATTATAATCTCTTTGAAACTTAATCAACTTAACTTAGTCAATTCCAGGTGTGCACATTGCTCTCCGTGGCGGACATTTGTTGGGCATAATATATTAGGTTGTGTATTTCTGGGATAGAAGCTTAGCGGCCGACGTTTTAATTCTCTCCCCGTCCCTACTTTTTGCTCGCTCTCGCGCGCCTCCCGCGCTTTTCCCACTTGGTTAAAAACAGAAAGAAATGATTTCTACGCATGCTTTCTACGAAGATACCTTCATGGTCCTCAGTCATGCTTTCCATCCTCTGAGAGGCGTTGCACTTTGTTTCGAAGGAGCTCCGGGCCCTACGAGAATCTTCTGTTGCTACAAAATCGAGAAAACATAACTATAAGCATAAGTGTGAAGTGCTGCAGATAAAGCCTATTACCGAAGGGTATGATGACAGCTCTCCAGAAACCATTCCGCTGAAAACAATGTACCTGAAAAATTACAAACGTTACAGTTTTGCTGTTTTCAACATAAGGTTCAAATAGGTATTCAAGAACATTTTTATCAAGACTTCAGGGCAAAACTTGTAAGCAATCCTATTTCTGTCTCTTTTGATTTTTCTCCCTATTGTTACCTGATAATGTGCCACTGAAGAAAATATGATTGACATTCCTACCACGAGTCAGGCTGATCATCTTGTCAACTAACTCTTTTATCTGTTTGGACCAGTTGTATTTCCTGCCATAGGAATCACGCAAGGTCACCGCTTCCTCAAGTCGACATTCCCTGTTCTTGGACAAGATATTCTGGATGGCTACGGTCCACACTGCTGGGTCCTCTGAGTCAATTACAAATGATGAACCAAAAGCTGCACTGCGCAGTGCTTCTCCAAAACCAGAATTGCGACTGACGAGCACAGGGAGACCAGCTGACATTGCCTCGAGTCCTGTTAGTCCAAATCCCTCTGTTCTCGAAGGCATGACTGCAAGATCCACTTCTTGGAATAAGCGCTTCAAACTCTCTCGGTCTTGAGCAAATCCTCTTACTCTCAGTCGACTTGCAGGAACGCCACACTCGATTAACCGCTTTGCTATTTCTTCGTGTTTTCCATCCGATGCCCCAACAAACATAAGACGAGTATCTTGTAAGGCGGCAATAGCCTTCCCGGCAATGTCAAACCCTTTTAATTTGAAATCGTCTACGTCTCCACGACCAAACACCAGGACACTGCGTTGCTGCCTCTCGCTAGGATCCTGATTTACAGCCTCAAACTCTTCAAGTACCCCAGGAGTGAAGTCAAGAACATGGTCATCTTTTTTACAGCCACGAAGATATGAGCGAAAGGCGTCGCTCAACTTGGGACCAACTCCTACAACATGGTCAGCCATTTTACACAGTTCTACTTCGGTCTTGTGTTTTTCTTCCCCCTCTGAAATTGGATTAGAAAAGTTTTTAAACATCCCAAGCTCCTCAGGGTCTGTGTGTACCACTTGGAACCATTTGCACGTTTTAAGGTCTTTAATGACTTGTGCTTGTCTACCGAGTTTAACTCCATGACCTACGATAATGTCGATTTGCAAATCTTTCGGCGGAAAGCAAAGCCAATCCAGTTTTTCAAAGCCAGGCATAGGCGTTGCCTCTACGATCTCTACTTTGTGATCTAGGGCTACTTTTTTATCCTCTTGACTACATTTTGGTAAAAAGAAAGTGATTTCCACTTCAGGGCACTTGGCTAACTGAATGGCTAATTCTCTGTTTATGGTGGAAAGCCCCTCATTTCTTGGTCCCCATTCAGATCCCAAAATAGTCACTTTCACTTTGCGAGCTCCATGCACTCGGTCATCATGCGTTTGAGCCTTCTGTGAAGCAGCTGCCATGCTCAAACATCAAAGTCGTCCAACATCTAAAATAAAAATTAATAGTAAAGACTCAATTACAACTACAACTGTGGAGAATAGAGAAACTACTACAATAGAAAAAAAGAGAATCAATTACAGCTACTACTGGTAGACGGAAAAACGTTTCACTGGGTGGTAAAACCCGGGTAAAACGTTTCACTGGGTGGGACCGATTGACTTCTATCTCAACAACCTTCTGGAACATGGAAAGTAGCACATCAAATGACTAGAAAATGCATTTTCTAACCGCTGATGCTTTTTACTAGCCTGGGCTTTTCTAGAGGAAAAGGGAGGCAGTGAAGAGAAGAAGAATGCCTTTGTGTGTCAGGGCTTTCTCCCTCTTTTCTCGCCCCACTGTTTCGTCTTAATTTCCCCTTACCTCTTAATAGTATAGGTAATAGCATGATTTGTAGTGATATTTGGAATAAATACCACGAGTGATATTTCAAAATTGTTATACGTAATTTCACGAGCCGTTAAACGAGTGAAATTTTAGACAATTCTGACATATCACAAGTGGTATTTATGCCAAATATCAGGTACAAATCTTGCTATTATTAGGGTATTTCAAATTAAGCTGAAATACCACTGCTCTAAGCCAATCAAATTGCAGAAATTTCTCATGTAGTAGTATAAAGGCCTGAAACTCAGATTAGCGTGCGTGTGTGTGTTTCTTTTCCTTAAAAATCTAGCATAAAAACCAGGAGTGAAACTAATTCATAGCAGGCGCGGATCCACACCGGCTTCCACCGTTTTACGGAAATCGGACAGATTATTCATAGTAAATACATTTTAATAAAAAAAAACACTTCCCAAATTGAAATCTGGCCAATATCCTGTCTGAATGACTCGGAAGCCCAGGCCAGGAAAGGGGACTTTAAGGAGTTAAAATCAAAATATTTCCTGGGGGAGCCTACCCCCGGACCCCCCTAGAAGCTTGCGCCTTCGGCGCTCGTTTACATCGTGGGAAATCGGTCAGTATTCATCCTAGATCAACGTCTGCATAGCTGTCAGCTGTGTTTTCGTTAACATCAACATACCAGGTGCTTGTCATGTTTATCTGTTTTGAAGTGTTTGCTTTGTGAAAGAACGTGAAATAAATGAGATAAAAACTACCAGGCTATATTTTCTAGCTGATTGCTTTACATTGCACTGAAACAGATAACGTAACTTAAAGTCACACGGGAGATCAAATGTCCCAGCATTGCTGGAACATAGTTTTTTTCCAATTTCTTTGTCTCATATCTAAGTCAGGATTTACAACTGGATACTAGTGAAAGAAACCCCCCTCACTCCCAAAAGGGTATGGATTCTTGGTGTCTTTTGGGTCCGGAAGCCTTTAAAAAAACGTGAAGGTTAGCTATGAGTGGTCTTTGCAGTTGGAAAAATATATTATTTCATAAAGATCGTAAAAGGCGAACCAAACCTTTTGCCAACTTTTGTACGAAAGGGTCATACCATAAACTGCCGCTTATGAGCCCCCCAGGTATAGGCCCCTCTACTTGAAATCAAAAAATACATCCGATTGTAAGCCCCCCCCGGATATAAGCCCGGTTTGTTTCGAAGCGCTTTTCAATTCCGGTTATAAGCCCCCTCGGATGTCAGCCCCCACGTTTATAGGCCCTTATCTAAAACCATTTACAAAGATGTAAAAGCCCAGGTGTCAAACCCACAAAGTATTCGGCCGCCTTCCTGAGAATACGTTGTAGACAGAGTCACACGGGAGCAGACGAATTAACGGCGATTTCTATGCTATACTTCGTCAACTGCTTATGCAGCTCACGTTTTCCTATTCGGCTGGCAATTCTAAAAGAAATGCTTTCAGGATGTTAGAGCGAGGCATTAACTTCGTAGAAGATCAGTACGATTTTCTGACTACCAGGCAAGAATTCTGCTCCTGGGTATGTAAATACACAGGTAACCCAGGCTCTGTGATAGTACCACAGTACGGTTCCAGTAAAATTACAGTGTTTGTATGGGGTAAAAATATCATCCTAAAATTTCTAGGAAATACTAAATAAAGATCTATAAAACTTACTCTGCAGTTAATTGTTGTTGTCCTTATTGCTCCAACGAAGTTTCGTGACAATTTGCAGTAATTTGTTTAAATTCACTCTATCTACAATAATAATATACAATTATTGTAGATAGAGTGAATTTAAACAAATTACTGCAAATTGTCACGAAACTTCGTTGGAGCAATAAGGACAACAACAATTAACTGCAGAGTAAGTTTTATAGATCTTTATTTAGTATTTCCTAGAAATTTTAGGATGATATTTTTACCCCATACAAACACTGTAATTTTACTGGAACCGTACTGTGGTACTATCACAGAGCCTGGGTTACCTGTGGTAAATACTGCGATAGCGATTTGAATATCAAACACCCGAAACGAACGAACATACACAAGGCCCTGGTTTTATTTCATATCTTGAAACTATAGCTCAGTTAAAACGAAGAAAGAAAACGTGCGGCAGATACACACTATCCAATTGGCTCCGCGTGGAAATTCATAGACTATTAAAGTAAATTGACAGACGCGAAGATAAAGAATGATTACCATTTACGACTTGTAAATTGTGAGTTCAAATGCTCGCTCTCATGACCCGGGTATCATGACTTGTTTTAAGTTAACAAGTGTTTAAGAATTTAAAATCACACAAGCCTAACCTTTATCCATGGCCAAAAGACACACACAGCAATTCAGCAAAGGTAAATGAAAGAAGGAAGTCTTGTATTGCTGTCCCTTGGCTCACTTCACCAAGAGCGACAGCCGCCATATGACGTCAATTGGTTTTGTAAAGTAAGTCACGCGAGATTAGTCACGCGAAGCTTTTAAAATCTTAATTAAAATATTTCATTTTGTAATTTTTATTTCATGTAATACTAAAAAATAAATGGAATGATGTAAACGCAGGGTTTGAAACATGGAATATTTTAATCAGATAAAAGTGAAACTGCATCATGTGTCTCCATTATTAGTGGAGCTTCTGTGTTATAGTCCAGAAGTGCACCCTGGTAATAGCAGTACTCAACTGCATTAAAATCTATTTTGTTTTAATTTAGTTTTTTGAATTTCTGGGTTTCATTTCGTTTAGGGGGCTCTATTGTTTTTACTTTCACTTTTCTTATAATATAAAATCAAAAAAATATAAATACACTGGAAAAAAGGGACAAAGGAAATAATAGCCAAAAGAATAACATCCAAAATTCGGATTTTCAATAGACAGTTTTCAGCCACCATAGGTTAAGGTACATGTAGGTATGTATCAGAGTACTAGAATTTTGTAAACTTATTGGCTGCTAAATTAAATGTCAGTTTTATGCAATAGTATTATGCATGCTTTGTATAGCTACTGTGATTCTCAGTTTTATTTCACCTTTTTGTCCACTGCTACTGTTTTGGATAGTGTAATTGCTTGTATGATTTTGGTGGTATGATACTACAACTCAACTTCGGAATTACTCGGCATAACATTATAGGCATACAAAACAGTAGTCAGGTACTCTAAAGTTCGCTGTTTAAAGTTTTTAGCCGAATCCCAGTTTAGTCAAAAAACCAAATTTTGGTTCTTAGCTCCATTGCTAAATGGACATGTAAGGACTCTAACTTTTGCAAAATACCATAGAATTTTGCTTAATCATTGTCAGCTTGATGACGTCCATTGGGCCACTGCTTAACCCTCAGACATACACACAGACCTCCACCATGGTAAAAGGGGGGTGGGTTGATGGACCCCCCCTCTTTAATAGTTTTTGATATGTTGCAGTGTTTCAAAAGAATTTTGTCTTCAGTGGAAAGCCTTTGATCTTCTCTACATGATGAGGTATACTTTGTGGGTGGTGGCACTGCTGGATTTCTGTGACATCTCAAAACAAGGTTGCCATCTTGGCCGCCAGCTTGGGTTTTATCAAGAATTAGAAATCAGGTAAAAAAAAGGAAGAATAAATATTTTTTTGCACTTTAACTTGTAAAATAACACATAAATATTTACTTTGCATCATTATATCCACAAGTTTTACTTTTAGTGTTGAAAAAAATTGAAAAAACATGCACTTTCACTCAAAAATGGCTTGACCACCTGCCACTAATGACATCATATCTCGTAACCATAGTAACTGACCATCACTAAACTTGTCTCAAAATGGCGCAAGTGATAAACAAACAGCTACAGAAAACTTCAGGTGCTGATCTTTTATTGTCAAGGAAAAAAATCAGAAAAACCTTAGGGGGGGATGGCAGCTGCCACTCCCCCTCCCCCCTTGTACATGTATGTCCGAGGGTTAAGATATGCCTAGTTTTTTTAAAACATTACAGGAAAACAGTCTTTGACCCAAGACAAGAAAAGAACTTCTTTTTTATATCAAATAAAGGGCACAAAGTTTCAATGAAAAGACCTTTTGCAAAAACAACAGACCAGCTCCAATGCTCAAAAGCAGGAAATTTCACTCCTGATTCTGGGTTCATGATTCTTTATTTTCAAGGGTCTGTTTATTAATTCACCTCCTGGGACAGAAAAAATATTCGCTGGGATTAATTCCAAAACATGGAGTTTCAACAAGTGCATGGAAATCTCCTCTGCAGTTGAAAGAATGGTTTTGCGTGGTGGATCTAAACTTGGAAAAAATGAAACTTATGATGCAGACACACTTATAATTCATGATACTGCATGTGCTTACATTTTTATCTTGACTGCCTTTTATACACTTTAATATAAGCCTATGCT